CTCCTCCCGCTGCCCCCTGGCCAGTCCCGCTGCCCCCGCCTCTCCCCTCCGGCCAGCCTTGCTTCCTGCCGGCCGGTTCTCCTCCTCCCGCTCTCCCTGAGCCAGCCCTGCTGTCCCCAACTCCCCCAGCCCTGCTTCCCATTCCCTTCCCCCCCACTACCGGCCAACCCCGCTCCCCTCCCAGCCGGTCCTCCTCCCTCTCCCCCATCTGAGATCAAGTGCATCCAATATTTTTTTTGAAGCCACCTGGTAACCCGAAAAACAAGAATGATGTCAGGGTAGGGGTCTCCTACAGACCACCTTTCAGGCAAAAGAGGTGGATGAGGTTTTTTTTAAACAACTAATAAAATCATCCAAAGCACAGGATTTAGTGATGATGGGGAACTTCAATTATCCAGACATCTATTGGGAAACTAACACAGCAGGAGACAGATTATCCAAAAAGTTCTTGGACTGCATTAGAGACAAATTTTATTTCAGAAGGTTGAGAGAGTTACTGCGGGGAAGCTAATCTTGATTTGATTTTTACAAATAGGGAGGAACTGGTTGAAAGTTTGAAAATGGAAGGCAATTTGGATTAAAGTGATCATGAAATTCATAGAGTTCATGATACTAAGGAATGGTAGAACAGAGAACAGCAAAATAGAGACAGTTGTTTTCAGGGGGGCAGATTTTAGAAAACTCAGCTGCTAGTTAAGCTCCCATGGGAAGAAAGACTAAGAGGAAAAACTACTGAAGAGAGTTTGCAGTTTTTTAAAGGGACGTTATTAAGGGCCCAAAAGCAAACTATTCCCTGGCATAGGAAAGATAGAAAAGTGTGGCAGGAGGTCATCTCAGATCAACCAGGAGATATTACATGATCTAAAAATAAAAAAGGAGTCATATAAAAAGTGGAAACTGGGTCAAATTGCAAAGGATGAATATAAGCATAGAACACAAGTATGCAGGGGCAAGATTAGACAGGCAAAGGCACAAAACGAGCTAAATCTAGCTAGAGACATAAAGGGTAACAAGACATTCTACAAATATATTAGAAGCCATGGGAGGATCAAGGACAGGGGGGTAGGTCCATTGCTCAATGAAGAGGGAAAAACAATAATAGGAAACTTGGAAATGGCAGAAGTGCTTAATGACTTATTTGTTTCAGTTTTCACCAAGAAGTTTGATGGTGATGGGATGCCTAACATAGTGAATGCTAGTGGAACTGGGGTAGAAGTTTTATTTTATTTTAAAATTTAAAAATTACTTAATCTTAGATGTCTGCAAGTCACCAGGGCCTGATGAAATACATCCTAGAACAGTGTTTCTCAACTTTATAAAAAAAAGTACCCCTTTACAAAAAAAAAATTAAGTACCCCAAGTACCTACAGTTTTCACCATAATATTTTTCTGCCATTGCAACACATTTGTTTAAATGACTTAATCGTAGCCAGGTGAGCAATAACATTTTTGGGTGTAAAAAGTACAAAAATAATAAAGCACTGTAAAATTTAAAACAAAAATTTAGTTTTCTCCAAATGTCAGTTGTATTGACGTACCCCCCAGACTTCTTTCGAGTACCCCTGAGGGTACTCATACCACTGGTTGAGAAACACCGAGGTAGTGCATCCATATGAAGGGAGCCTGTCTAGGACTAACTTTGAGGCTTCCTTGTATTGTGGACATACTATTTCAAAATTATTATTTTGGGAGTGTGGAGAGATTCCAAAAAAGTGGAAAAGGGCAAATATAATGCCCATCTATAAAAAGGGAAATAAGAACAACCCAGGAAACTACAGACCAGTCAGTTTAATTTCTATGCCAGGGATGATAAAGGAGTGGGTAATTAAGGAATTCATCTGGAAGAAAATAAGGTGATAGGTAACAGCCGGCATGGATTTGTAAAGAACAAATCATGTCAAACCAATCTGATATCCTATCAAAGAAAGCTATCAAGCCTTGTGGATAAGGGAAAAGTGGTGGACATGGTATATCTAGACTTTAGTAAGACATTTGACATAGTCTCACATGACCTTCTTATCAATAAACTAGGGAAATACAACCTAGATGGGGCTACTATAAGGTGGGTGCATAACTGCCTGGATAACCGTTATCAGAGAGTAGTTATTAAATGGTTCATAGTCATGCTGGAAGGGCATAACAAGTGGGGTTCTGCAGGGGTCTGTTTTGGGACTGGTTCTGTTCAAAATATTGATCCGTGATTTAGATGATGGCACGGAGAGTACCGTATTTTCCGGCGTATAAGACGACTTTTTATACTAAAAAACATCCCCCAAAAATTGGGGGTCGTCTTATACGCTGGGTATAAACATACAGGCAGTCCCCGACTTGCAGGTACGAACGGGGCTTTTCTCGCCCTGGAGGACACGGACTGCC